TGAAGTCGCGATTTTAGGGGTAGCATTTCTTCAATCCTTGAGACTTTGTTTCCTTCTTTTTTAAGATTTTGGGAGCTTTAGGGCTGAGATTTTGTAGTCGATGGTAATTTAGAGTAACTTGAAGTTCAGAATCACGTGATGTTGGTGCGAAGTTCGTATTGTTGGAGCTCGGAGCCATTTGTTTCTAGCGAATGTAAGTTTGATGCAAACATAATAGCTACATACCGTAACAATCCATCAATGGTCTTTTAATATATATATATATATATATATATATATATATATTATGTTGTATATATATATATGTTATTTTCTTTAAATTCTAGTTTATTCTTATATATTTTATGTGGATAGACTGCAATGATCATATATTATATGAAGTGAGATAGAGGTAAGTTAATCTTGGGAGTTATGCGGTGGAGACTTCCACAAGGTGTTGAAGTTGGTTATTCTTTTTTTTTTTTTAACCTACCCTTGAGTAAAATTTGTATATTAATGTATAAAAGTTACTTGACCAATAACTTAAAAGAGTATAGTTTACACATTAAAGAATGATTGCATCTATATTATATAAACATAATTGTGTGGTTGAGATTTTGTTATATAGCTTATCTATGTTACATTTAAATATTAGTATGTTTTTAATCCTAAATTATTAGATGAATTTTCTGTTGGGAATATGTCTAAATATCTTTAGGAGATTAAGTTAGTTTTTATAAGAATAACTATAAACATGCGTTATATGAAGGACCCTGGCTAATTGCTGACCACTACATTGTGGTCCAACGCTGGCGGCCATTCTTCACAATCACTGCTGCACAAACTCGGAAAGTGGCGGTGCGTTATATGAAGGACCCTGGCTAATTGCTGACCACTACATTGTGGTCCAACGCTGGCGGCCATTCTTCACAATCACTGCCGCACAAACTCGGAAAGTGGCAGTTTGGATAAGGATTCCTGGTTTACCTATTGAACTCTTCAATGATAGATTCTTATGGAGAGTTGGTAGCAATCTAGGGTCAATGCTAAAGATTGATAAGCTTACGTCAATTCAATCCCGAGGACGCTTTGCTAGAATCTGCGTGGAGATTGATCTACAAAAAAAGCTTGTCCCACAGATTAATGTATTAGGCCATATCTTGAAACTCGAATACGAGGGCCTCCATTCGATATGTTTTAAATGTGGACGCTATGGCCATAAGCAGTCAAATTGTCCCCATGAAAGGCTTGGAGAAGAGGACCAGCCCGAAAGGGCGAAAGATCAAGTGTCTATGGAGGTGGATAATGGCTCAAACGGGGCCAAGAATCTTATGTGCCTTAGCACCACTAATGTGCGTCTCTTGTAGGCATAAAACTCCCACGTTGAATTCATCAATCAAATCATTAATAAGATTCACAAAACCTCTACACCCTGCACCCCTACAATTCCAACTTAATAAATTCATAAAACTGTTTTGAAGAGTGGGTGTTGAAACCCTAATAGCCTCCTTACTCGCATCAACCTTTTGATCCATTTGGGGCGCAGGACCATGCATGCCACTAGGATCTAGATGTCGTCGCATGAAGCTGGCAAACGCCATTGTTTGCTCGTCCGGATGAACAACACGAGTTATCAAATTCGTTCCATCATTCTGCCAATCGCCTTTATATGAGGTTGTATTCTTGATGCCTTGTAGAACACGATCAGTATTAAGGGTTTCACGTGATGCATGCGCTTCGCGTTCCCATGCAGACATATCAACAACCACATGAGGGTTTCCTTGGGTCTTTCCCTTCATAGAATTTTCCTTCTTTAGTTCCATGTTGACTCCCTTTGATGGAACGCTTGTCCCAGTCTGAAGGTTCGACTTATTCAAGGATTGAGAATTCTTGCCACCTATCTTGTTGCGAATCTTGACCACTTTTTGATTGGAATCACCTTGTCCCATGTCAGCATGATTAATTGGAACATAGTCTTCCTTATTTGCTATTGAGTTCGGTTGAGATTTTGGGTCATAATCTTCATCATTAAAGTGGGAATCCTTCATATCTTCCACCTTATTTTTTGCCTTATCGGTAGGTTCCCGAATATTCTTATATGGTTTTCTGTTTCATTTCACCACCATCCATGGACCATACTGGTCTTCCGAATCCTTGGTTTTCTGCTGTGAAATATTCTTTATCTCATTTTGGTTCTGATTAACCGAATTCGGGTTCATCGTCTTCACCTTGGCCCCGTTTGAGCCATTATCCACCTCCATAGACACCTGATCTTTCGCCCTTTCGGGCTGGTCCTCTTCTCCAAGCCTTTCATGGGGACAATTTGACTGCTTATGTCCATAGCGTCCACATTTAAAACATATCGAATGGAGGCCCTCGTATTCGAGTTTCAAGATATGGCCCAATACATTAAAGGGTCAATGCTAAAGATTGATAAGCTTACGTCAATTCAATCCCGAGGACGCTTTGCTAGAATCTGCGTGGAGATTGATCTACAAAAAAAGCTTGTCCCACAGATTAATGTATTAGGCCATATCTTGAAACTCGAATACTCTGATTATTTTAGGATATATTTCCTTATTTTAGAATAGGATAATATTAATATTTGATTTTGTATAAATTTTCTCTATAAATAGAGACTCATGAATAAAATTATATTATGCTCCTCTGATAAAAAAATAAGTCTTATTATAAAATATTCTCTCAAACAAATATCATAAAATAACCCCATCATTTTCTACTAACAGTAGTGTCCATTAGTATAGGAATCATTAATGGATTATTACATTATCTAGTTATTATGTTTGCATCAAGCTTTCATCCATTATAAATAGATAATTTTGATTTTAATCATTACACTTTTCTTATATGCTGTTATATATTGTTTGGAATTTTTGTTTGAGAAATGCTAACCACATTTTTTAACACTTTTCATCTTAAAAAAGTCTATGAGGAAAAATTTATATACAACTAATAATAGTGTATTTAAACGGGAAATTTTAAGAAGAAAATATAATCTTTAGAGGAATTTAAAGTACTTTTTAAACTAAAATTTGTTGGTTGGATATTTTATTAAATAAAAATAAATACTAAATTAAGAATCTTAAAATAAAATTTTAATTAACTAAAATTCAAGAATTTTAATTTCAATAAAAAAAATAAAAATTTATAATTTTTTTTATTTTCTAGTTTGCTTTACTCTCTCTCTTGTTCTATCAACTTCGAATAGTCAACCAATTTTTTAAACATGTTCACATACATATTGATAAATGTGTCAAATGAGTTGGTCCGACTTTAATCTCTTATAAGTTGTTCATTTTGTGGTTAAGCCAAATTTATCTATTTTATTTTACAAAGAAAATTATAAATGATACCAAATAGTCTTTTGATAGGTTTTGGGCCTCAAAACTATGAATCTCAAGTTTGACAAATTTACTTGTTAACTTTTTGTTAAATAATTTTTTGTTAATTGATTAATAATATATATTCCTCGACCTTTTTTTTCTCTCTCAAATACTTTCAATTTCATTCTTTCAAGAAGTACTTTTTAAAAGTATTTTGAAAAGTAGTTTCTAAAGGTATATTTTTACATTTAGAAAGGACTCTTTTGAAAAGTGCTTTAAAAAGATTCTGAAATACCTTTCAATTTTACTCTTTTGAAAAGTTTTTAAAAAATATTTTAAAAAGTACTTTCTGAAATTATATTTTTACATTTCTAGAAAATACTTTTATACTTTCATAAAGTAATTTTCATAAAGTAAAATTGAAGGTATGTTTTTTTTTTTTTTTTTTACTCTTTCCAAAAAGTAAACTTAATGATCTAACATATGCAAAATTAATAATAGTCACAAAATGATATATTTTTAAAATTAGGTGACTAACTTGTAAAAAAAAAGAGACTAAATGATTTTTTTTTTCAAAACAGGAGAGCAAAATTATAAACTGATAATCCAAAGTATATTTAACTAAATTAAAATTCTCACAAAGTTCATAGAGAAGAAATAAAGTGCAAAATAAGTTACCTGAAACCACTGCTCTAAAGAAAAAAAAATGATTAAGTTGCACCAATAATTTAAAATGTGTAAGAATATATTTAGTTATTAACTAATTTTAATACTAATAAAATATGACATGATTAGTAGATAATTTTGTCTCTTAAATATATATATATGATTAAGGATTCAATCCTTGATCCGTGTATATGAATTTTGGAATAACATTTGTTGAAAGAGTTCAATCCCTTAAATGTGTTTTTATATTTTGAATGATTATAATTTTTTAACGGGAGATACCTTGATTTAAATAAAAAAAACCATGTATGTGCATTTTGGTCAAAGAAGAATTATGTATATACTTTGAGATACATGTTATTTTACATTCCTAAACCTATATAATTTATCTCTTGCTTATGGGGGGAAAGTGTTCAAAACAAACGTCATTTAATTTCCTTCTATTTTTTCTCTCACATTTTTTTTCTTAAGATAATACGTGTAAGACTGAGATATATGAGTTTTAGTGTAGATATATTACATGCATGTACATGTATTTTGTGTTGGTGAATATCTCTATATCTCTGGCGTCTCAATCTCACATCTTTTAGGAACAAACGATGCGTAATCCTTTTAGAATGGGTGAAAGAAGAGTAAATAGAGGCTAGCATGTCTCATTATTTGCCATCTCAACAAATAGGTTAATTGACTAAATCCAACTTATTTCTTATCATCCTTCATTAATTTCTCTGGATGAACTACAAGTTAGGGGACAATGGAAGATGCAAAATATAGCTACATGCACACCTCACCTTCCTTTTCTGTCTACCTATTCTTTTTATTCCTTTTTTGTTCTTAATATCTTCATATATAATAAATGTACACGTTCATGTCTTCTCAATACCACCTCCTGGTATGTCAACAAAATTCACCTTCTTTTTCTTTTCTTTTCCTTTTCTTTTGTTGCTTTTGTCTTCGCCTCTTAGTTCTTGATTGCATTAGTTGCTAATCTCGTTCTGAAAACTTATCATGTGTGGACAATGCAAATAGGCTAGAATTATAGATGCCCGGTTATTTGAGGAAGCTTACATTCAAAGAGTATATTTGGCTTAAAATTTTTAGGTGTGTTCTTTTGTTCCCTTTCTCAGTTTCTTTCTTTTTTTCTTTTTCATATAAACAACTTCTATATTTTCCTACTTAATATATTAAATGAGTATATAATCTCTAGTTCATGAGTAATTTAGAACACTTAACCTCCACCTTTCCCAGATTTTTTTAAGAGAAAACAAAAAAGGAAACTAATAACTGAGGTAAAATAAGAGAGCAAAGAAGCATCTATAAATTAAAAGCATACTCTTATGAAATTCGTCACATTTATAACTTGACAATGAATTCTATCTAATTAACAGTAGATAGTGGGTGGGTAATATTCCTTGTTTGATCATTGTATTCATTTTATTAACTCTCTTTTCATTTATTTTTTTGTTACAAGACAAGAACATTCATCTTCAACCTTGATTACTATTGTTGCAATAGGAAAAAAAAAACTGTTTTAAATTTGATTTACTATTAGTGAACAACATTGTACATTTATAATTGACAAATCGAGAAAGCATAGCATAATTATACCAAGGTTTTTCAGTTGCATTAACTTTTAATAGTTTCTGAAGTAGCACAATATGGTTCGCTCATAGAGTAAAGATTTAATAGTTTGCAGTAATATCAAAATAAAATTCTAACAGACACACATATTCATCTTCAGCTAATTAACTATATCTTAAAGCCATCTCCATAGTTTCAAGTGGAGTACAAGCACTATTTATATTCCACCTTCTGGTTGTTGGCTTAATGTCTAGTTACATTCATCTTAAAACTTGATTACTAATGTTGCAACAAAAAAAATTGATTTACAATTAGTGAACATAGCTAGGTAGAAGAATGCCACTATCAACCTAGTATGTACATAACATTCGATTGTTGTTGATGCAGCTTCATGCATCTCAGACTTGTGAACATAAACTAATATTACTTGTTAGTTTGAAAATTTTCTCAGAGCTGAAAGCAAAAAATGGGCAAGGATGGATCACCAAAACCCTATTATCAGTTTGATCCAAAGAGAAACCGTCTCACATGGATTTTAGGGGTTAGTGGGCTATGCATTTTATCTTACATAATGGGTGCATGGAAGAACACTCCAGCACCAAACCAATCTGAGGTCTACACAAAAGTAGATTGTAAACCTCAATCAGACATGGCATCTTCAGCAGTTCAATCAGGTTCTTCTTTAGACTTTGAAAGCCATCATCAAATTGATCTCAATAGTTCTGGAGGAGTGCAAGAGTTTCCACCATGTGAGATGACATTTAGTGAATACACTCCATGCCAAGATCCAGTGAGAGGTCGCAGATTTGACCGAAACATGTTGAAGTATAGGGAGAGGCATTGCCCCTCCAAGGAGGAACAACTATACTGTCTCATACCTGCTCCACCAAAATATAAGACACCTTTTAAATGGCCTCAGTGCAGAGATTATGCCTGGTATGACAATATTCCTCACAAAGAGCTTAGCATTGAGAAAGCTGTTCAAAACTGGATTCAAGTTGAAGGTGACAGATTCAGATTCCCTGGTGGAGGTACTATGTTTCCACGTGGAGCTGATGCTTACATCGATGACATTAATGAGCTTATTCCCCTCACCAATGGTAATATCAGAACTGCAATTGATACGGGGTGTGGTGTAAGTTAATCTATATCCTATCTTCTTTTATGTCTCTGTCTCTATTTTTACACCCCAGAGAAATCATGATATATATGACTTTTAAGGTGATTATTAGTAAAGTCAATAAACTTTATATATATGTCAATATGTGATTAGAGGATAGCGTAAAAATTTACGGTGTATACACCTAGTGTTAGGAACTGTGGACAGTTGAGTTTACAGGCGACTAATCAAATTAAAATTAAATGTTAGGACTATATATTTTCTTTTTGGTGTGAAGATGTGTTGCTTATACTTGATTCCTTACTATTGTAAAGGTAGCAAGCTGGGGTGCATACCTTTTGAAAAGGGATATCATAGCTATGTCCTTTGCACCTAGAGATACACATGAAGCTCAAGTCCAGTTTGCATTGGAAAGAGGAGTTCCAGCAATGATTGGCATCATGGCTTCACAGAGGATTCCATACCCAGCAAGGGCGTTTGACATGGCTCATTGTTCTCGCTGCTTGATACCTTGGCATAAATTTGGTATTCACACTTTTTATATTTTCATTGGCTATCTAACTAAGAAACAATTAATCAAAAAAGTAGTTCCATAAGTAAATATATAATTAAGGCATTAACAGTTCTTTCAACATTGTGCATGAAAATAGAATCAATTTCTCTTGGAATTCATAAATTGTCAGCCTTCAATTATATTTTGCTTATCATAAGTAACAACGCTTCTTTTGCATTTTTATTAGACATTAAGTCTCTAATTTCCACTGCACAGATGGTATGTATTTGATTGAAGTGGATAGAGTTCTGAGGCCAGGTGGCTATTGGATTCTCTCTGGCCCACCTATCAGATGGAAGAAATACTGGAGAGGGTGGGATAGGACCCAAGAGGATTTGAAGCAAGAGCAAGATGCTATTGAGGATGTAGCCAAGCGCATATGTTGGAAGAAAGTAGTTGAGAAGGATGATCTCTCCATTTGGCAAAAGCCTAAAAACCACATGGAATGTGTACAAAATAGACAGACTTATAAAACACCACACATTTGCCAATCTGACAATCCTGACATGGCTTGGTAATTTCTTAGACCATTTCACTTAGAATTGAACTCGCACTTTCATAACTACGTTTGTTGGTTCATCAAAATGAACATTTCATCTTAGTAGTCATTGTTTTCATTTTAGTAACTAAATAACTATTGATGAGATGAAATTGATTGGAGAACGATACCAAAAATATCAAAACAACTGCATTTAAGTTTTGTCCTTTATAGACGGAATCACTTTATGATGTAATTTAAATCTTGGTTGCTGATACCATTGTCTTTGCTTAATTGCATTGAGAAGGTACCAAAATATGGAGAAGTGCATAACTCCATTGCCGGAAGTTACAAGCCCAGATAGTGTAGCTGGAGGGGCACTAGAAAAATGGCCTAAGCGTGCATTTGCAGTCCCTCCTAGAATTAGTAGTGGTTCAATACCAAGCATCGATGTTGAGAAATTTCAAAAGGACAATGAAGTATGGAGGGAAAGGATAGCATATTACAAGCACCTCATTCCTCTTTCCCAAGGGAGATATAGAAACGTCATCGACATGAATGCTTATCTAGGTGGATTTGCAGCAGCCTTAACAAAATTCCCAGTATGGGTGATGAATGTTGTTCCCCCAAATTCAGACCATGACACACTAGGTGCAATTTATGAACGAGGTTTTATTGGAACTTACCATGATTGGTGCGAGGCTTTCTCAACTTATCCAAGAACATATGATCTCATCCATGCTAGTAATGTGTTTAGCATATATCAGGATAGGTACATTATCTAGCTCTTTAACTTGTGTATGTTGTTATTTCTCACCATGTTATTATGTGGTTTTGACTTGATTAATTTTTGTGTTTGGAAGGTGCAATGTTACTCATATACTACTTGAGATGGATAGAATTTTGAGGCCAGAAGGAACCGTTATATTCAGAGATACAGTAGAGCTTCTGGTGAAGGTTAAAAGCCTTACTGATGGAATGAGATGGAAAAGCAATATCATGGATCATGAAAGCGGACCCTTCAACCCTGAAAAGATTCTTGTTGCCGTAAAAACTTACTGGACTGGTGAAGCTAAAGTCAACAAAAACTAACAGAGAAATATCGTCACAACTTTGCGCTTAAACCCTTTTTGTTTCCCCTCCTAGGAATTAAATTATACTTCTCTATTTTTTGTCTATAAATTTAATTATTATGTGAATGATTATGTTTGAGATTCTTAGAATGTAACGTTACGAAAAGAAAATCGTAGATCTGATACCAAAGCTCTTGTGACTTGTGAGGAGTATTTTTTCTTGTGTTTGGATCATCTCCTACTCTCCAGCACAGAAAATTTAAAATGAGAACTATAAAGAAGTAGAAAAGAAAATAATTGATGAAAGAATAAGAAGAAAGTAGAGAGAACTCTACAATTTGCTTCCATTGCCTCTCTTTTCTACTTTTACCTTTAGCTACTTTTCTTTTTTCTCTCACAAGATTGACGTCGCATCAGTTAATCTATTACATCGGTGAACATGTTTCATAACAAATAACGTTGATAGTTTATAACATAGATGTTTTAATTGGTTGTCAAACAAGCTTTGGATGTTGCAAGGGGGGTGGCTTATGTTTATGGCCTTAGATTGATCCACTGGGACTTGAAATCTGATAATCTTTTGATTTTTGGTGACAAGTCAATTAAAATTGCTGACTTTGGAGTTGCCCGAATTGAGGTGCAAACTGAAGGAATGACACATGGGACTGGAACTTACCGCTGGATGGCTCCGTAAGATCATTTACTGTTCTCTCTTTTTATATTAATATGCATTCTAGCTTCATGTTTCTGAAATTATTTTTTGACAGCTTCTCTATTTTGGTTAACTATTTTAAAGATATTTATTGAACGAAATATTGCTTAAATTTTAAATGCTGCTAACAATTGGTCTTTTTATCATTTTTTTATTTGTTCCTAATCAGTTGTTTGTGAATTCTGATCCTGAACAGAAATGGCATATACTGCTGCAATAGTAATTATGCAATTTCCTTATCAGATATCTATTTTTGGTGTACGACTTGTTCTATACACAAATGTTCTGCGTCATACAAAAATCCGCTGTTTTCATATAGAAAAAAGAGGGCAGTGCAATATACAGTAAAGACATTAGGATATACAAAGAGTAATATTATTGAAGGAAGCAAGGGAAAAGAATGAAGAGAAGGAATACATTTTATTAAAAATAAATAAATAAATAAAAAAGGAGAAGGAATACAGGTAACATTATTTATTATTAAAGGAGCGCGGGAAAGGATTAGGCTGCAACGTAGAAATAGATGGAAGTTCAAGGACCTACGGTGTGTTAGATTTTAGAAGTAGAGAAGAAGATTTTATTCTCTCTCTCCTAAAAGCAGCATTGTTTTTCTTACATCCATTGACATCATTCATACAACATTGCGTCTGCATTAATGGTTGCAATGCTGGTGTTTAAGAGCAAACACAGGTTGTTATACCACTATGATCCATAATCTACTATCATCGTACCAATTTCTATAAATACTCTGAAGAAACTTTTAAGGCATAATATATACTATTTTTTGACACACTCAGAAGTATAAACTAGAAAGACGTAATATATTCATAAATTAGTACACAGAAAGTGATTGTAAAAAATGATATCCATATAGAATAGAATGGAATATTGTAAATAATCATTTATAATAAAAAAAAATGTACTCATTTTATTGTCTTGCTATAAACCTTTCATGTTACAGGCTTGAATATTGAAAAAGTGTATTATACCGTGATCGATACAAAATATTTTACCAGTACGCGAAGATAAACTAACATATTTTTATTAAACAAATCTATTAGTAATTTCTACATAAAAACAATTAATGAATTTTTATTCAAAAAATCAAAATTGTTAAATCAATCATTTTTTCTAAAATTAGTAAACAATATTCAAACTAAACATGTTTTCTAAATTTAAATTTTTTGAAAATAAAAATAATTTTCTCGTTAGGAAAAAATTTCACGTTAATTTGGCGCTTTAGTCAAAATGGCCGAATTGAAGTCCCACATTGAACCAACCCCTACCCTGGCAGTATGCCAGTCCCCGGGGTAGTTGTTGTGGTGCAAGCGAGCGTACATACACAAAAAAAGTTTTCGCCCATGATCTCATTTCATCTTGCCTTCAGAACTCAAGCTATACATAACTGTAAAACATGCATGTATTACATACACCATCTCCTCTTGACTAATTCAGAACCGACATTCAGTAAATAAAAACCAAATAAGCAAAAGGTCCAGATAAGATTTTCATTTTTTTAAGAAAAAGGAAAAAAGAAAATAAAACACACAGATACACAAAGCTATTATATAGTCACCCTTCACTACCAGAGTTTTTCCAGTCTATGTTTTTATGACCTTTTTTGCATTTGCTTTAGTCAGCAGTCATTGGTTGAGTCATGCAACACCTGAACCTGGCCTTCCGAACTGTTGTCATGATCTCAGTCTCCGCATTCTCGAGCATTCCTACGATATCAGCAAATGGGGGCCTAACATCAGGGTTGGGATCCCAGCATCTTGTCATGATGTCTCGGAGAACAGGTAGGCAATCATTGGGTATGATTGGGCGAACATTTTTGTTCACAACTGCAAAAGCTGCCTGTACTGCTGTCATGTTCTGAAATGGAAGCATACCAGTGATGAGTTCCCACAGAACAATCCCAAAGCTATATACATCCACCTTTTGTGTGTAGGGCCTATGCTGGATCATCTCCCTGCAGTTCATCAGCAAACAACGTATCTAAATAACACATCAAACTTATTTTTTAAACAAAAATATAAAACAGTTAAAACTAATTCTGAATCTGCATTTCAAAAAAGTTGTATATCGGGATTTTGGTCATAGCAGAAACATATGAAAAACATGTTGAATCTGAAGCAGACATGATTGAAGAAAAATATCATGCATGATGAATGGAGCTATCCATATATCTTCTAGTAACCGGGATTCAATTGCATAAATCTTCCCCAATACCATTAGTATTGATCAGCTAGTTTCAGAAAGCTAACAACATCCCCCATTCAATAAAAGAATAGTCTTAAAAGGAATTAAGACAGAAAGAAAATGGTAAATATATCACTAATCATTATAAGAAAGTCATAAAATAGAAAAACAACTAAATAGCATTCCAATTCCCCTGAATATCGAGAATATTCAAAAGTTTAATATCGTGTTTCAAGTCAGCCACAAGAAACCATAATCTTAACCATTCATAGTCCTCCATTCAGATTCCATGTTGCCATTTCTGTAAGAAGACTAAATCATATTGCCCAATACAGTTAAATTAACCAATCAAACAATATAACATCTCACGTCAAAAAACTCAAGAGACATGTCATTAAATATTAACAATACACACGTGTACATTTGGGCATGCAATCAATATCAAACCTCCATTAATACACAAAAAGCACAAAAGTCATTTAAAAAACACAACAAATTAAATGTCCAATAGAAACATAACTCACCATGCAAAGAGCACCCATCAAGATGAGACAAACTACATCATGATATACATGAGAAAATGCAGGAAGGCAATAGGATATGCCCATAATCAAATAGAGTTTTCACATTTCATAGCACTACTATAATATTGCAGGTTGTAAACTGCAAAGCTTCAGCCCAAGGCATAAAGTATGCAAGCAGCAATATATTAAAACAAGCAACCAACACATGAAGCTTATTGTAAGTTCTGGGGAGGGTCAAATGTATACAAGCTATATAATTGAAGACGAATTTTAATGACACAGATCCGGAGACAAGCAGCTCACAAGGCAGCAACACTAAATATTTGTACACTACTATTTTCATTGTTATAAAACACTCCTTGAGCAACTATACATTCAATTACGAAGATTTTTCAAGAATTTCTAAATATTGATCAAGAGTTTGATTAAGAAGATAATGCAATTAAAACCCAAAAAAAAAAAAAAAAACACTGCATACAAGAATGATAACCAAAATTTTACAATAGAAGTTTGCTTCTAATGTGACAATTAATATTATGAAATTCATTACCTTTGAGATCATCTGAAATGGTAACAATAATGGTAAAACTGAAGAAATTTATCGCCTCATTTTTGTCACCTCCACGTCAAAATATAAAGAACTTCACATTTTCATCATATCATATTAGTTTCATTAATGTTATTTTGAAGCAAAAATCGTTTAAGATTATGGGAAAATATATAGGTTAGACCAGCTGGATACCAAAGATGGGTTAATGGAGACAGCATTATGACACATTTCTAGTACCCCAATCTCTCCTTCACTTAAACCAAATATGATTGACATGGACTAGCAATTAGACTTATTTAACTTGCTTATTGACATGGGCTAGTGATTAGAATTATTTTTTTATTGGGTCAAACACATGTATTGGATTTATCTGATGAATGAGCAACAGGCTTCTGCATTGCTCTAGGATACCCAAAGCTTGCTCAATGATCCCCAAAGCAGGATTGTGAACTCTACTACCAAGATATTTGGATGATAGGAGTTAGCTGCTAGCCAACAGAGTGTAATGCATCTAAACAAATAGATCAAGCCACTAAGAATAAAGAACGTAAGGAGAAGACTTCATGAGATTCTCAAAAAAAAATGTTAAGCTTGTATTAAAATTTTAATTGTTTATTCAGTAGGGATGCTAAATACGTCTATCAATTTCCAGGGGAGAAATTATGCAGGCTGGGTGGCACAAATAAAACAGATAATAGATGAGGAAGAAAAAAAATTGACAGCACAATTGTTATAATAATTAAAAAAAAAACTTATCAGCCCAAAATCATGAATGTGTAGTGGTCAAAAGATTTAAATAAAAAAAAAAAGTAGATTTAAAAGAATATAAACAAGGATCCAAAAATGTGAGCTACATCATCAGAACTTGCTTCTAAAATAAATGACGAAGGTCAATATGCACTTTGATAGTCGACTGCAATTATCTTTTCTATAGGGTTAGTCTGATGCAGTGTAGACATGTTTTTTTTTCTGAAGGGTTAGTCTGATGCCCTTACCAAAACAAAAGAGAAAGGAGATTTCCTTCCACTTCTTGAAGCATGAAAGATAATGATGAGAAGAGTGAGAATGTGATTAAAGAAATGTATATCATAACTATTAGTGACATATATATTTAGATAAAAGTAAAAATTTGCACACCATGAATATACAATTATATATCTGATAAGGAAATTGCACAATTAATATTTCAGCAGTATATGCCTTTTTTTTTTTTGAAAAGCAG